GGTTTCTAGCCACTTTGACCCAATTAGTGAGGCTAATTAAGGGGGTCTGTGGGTCAGAGCTCAAACTCACCGACAGACCTCTGACACCACTTTATGGTCAAAACATACGACGTACCGATACTCGAGGAGACAGCAATCCTTTAACGGGCGAGGGTCCACAAAGCATATTTCACCGGCAGAAAAGAAGGGCGCTGGGGAGGCTCTATTGAAAGGCATTGTCTTTTTCTATGGCAATATCTCAACATCACTATTATATATAGCTATGTTTCTACCCAAAAGGCGGGAATGAGTCCTAAAATCCGTACAAACAAATCATTAAGTGGTTTTAATATGCGGAGATTATCCTGCGGAACATAACGTGAAAGTATCATAAACGTTTATCTTATTTTCTGCCAACACCACAAGGAGAAGTCCCATTGGACCAGGGAGATGCTGCCTTCAGGGTCCGCCTACAGTACGTATTTCCTGCACCTCTCTATAGGGTTAGGGATCTCTCTTGACATATTAACAGCTTTTAGAATGGCTCAAACATAACAGAGGTCTTACGGCCCGTCCACACTACAGCTTAAAAAAAAAAGCTTGCCGGCGGGCGTGTCTGAAGCTCGACCAACAACCAATCACATGAATCTCCCGCCCCTGACACACAAGCAGCGGTTTGATTGGCTAGAGCTTGTACTGGCATATGATTTGATTGGCTGACGCTTCCACCGAAAGCTTCCGAAGCTTCAAAAGTTGAACATTGCTCAACTTTTGCAGCCTGAAACGCCAGGAAAGCTCCGCTCTGCTACCCACAATTCAGTTCGGCGAAAAGCGAGGCAACGTGACGTCACCGCATTCAAAGTGAATGGGCAGACGCGTTGGAAACCGTTTTTGAAGCTGTCGAAGCTGTAGTGTGGACGGGCCGTTACTCCTGTCTGCTCCCGTCTAATCAAACAACATTGGGCAGACAGGCTGAGCTGAGAAGTATACTCGGATCTTGTTTGAGTAAAAGTAGAAGCATCACCGTGAAGGAATACTCTGTTCCAAGGAAAAGTCCTGCAATCAAATAAAGTATAATGTACAAAAGTATTAGCATCAAAATGTGCAAAAGGTTTCAGCTAGTTGTAATCACTTTGTATAGCAGGGTAGCTTGTGGATTTACTTCAGGTGTAACTAAAGTCCTATTTAAGTGTTGTTAATATTTCACATCATTAATCTAAATCTGCAAGTATCTAAAGGTATTAAATAAATGTAGTGGAGTAAAAGTACAGGATTTACCTCTGAATTGTAGTGGAGTAGAAGTAGGCCTACACAGTAGCACAAAATGGAAATACTCAAGTAAAGTACAAGTTTCTCAAAATTTGACTTAAGTACAGTACTTGAGTAAATGTACTTAGTTACTTTACACCTCTAAACTGCGGTCCAGTTACTCCCAATCCGCACACTTACGTATGTCTCTTGTGGTCAATGTCTGCAGTTGAATCAAGCAAAGCTGTAGGCCTATTTAGATTTTCCCATGATTTAAGATTGTATTTAGTTACATTCTGATGGTAGCTAGTGAGTGTTCGTACCTGTGGTGTCTTAATGATCACCTGGCTTTTTCTCTTGCGCCACCTTGAGGTTGACATTTGCAATACTGACTGTAATAGCCAAACAACTATTGGTTGGTGAGCCATTAAATGTGGTAAAAAAATGTATGTTCACTCTTTACTCTTTTTACTCTATGGTGATCCTCTGACCTTTCCTCTCTTCAGGTCAGATTTGTAATGTGTTAACAGTTTGATTAAGACAAATCTCCACAGGGAACCAGAACACCCTGAGCTGGTTGAATGGCTGCAGACTGTGGAGGACTGGGCACGTTCTGTATGCACGTCATCTTTCAAAATTAGCCAATCATGTTGCAGTGTATTTGTATCTTCAGCTCTTTATACCGCCCCCCCAGCTGTCCTTTGATTCTGACACTGGGGTGCAAAAGCTAGAACTGGTAGTTGTAACTTTGATAGTGCCAATAAGGTCCAAACCGGCTGATTATGCTGTAATAAGGTAAATGTTTATTTTTTATTTCCCGTTTTATCCCAATGTGTTCTAATGCCATCTAATAATGGACCTCACTAAGTGCTGGAGACCATTTTATCATACAGAACCTGCATTAGAAATGGTTTTAATTCCTTGGATACCGGCCTGCTTTAAACATGACCAACATTCCATTCAGAACTCCTGTCTATTGTTTTAATGATAATTATTTTAACTTCCACTATTAAAGCTACTCTCTCCTCATTTCATGTCACTGAAAGCCCCGAGGACTCCGCTCCACACTCCTCTCTGCTTTCTGCAGTACCAGCTGCTGTGTTGTCTGACAGAAGTGTCCGGAGGCAGCACACTCATCTGCAGTCCTGCTGCTGTGACATGTCACATGACGTGGTAGCACAAATACATTCATATGTAGGCTATTCAAAATAAGATAATATTGGTATATGTTATTTATAGTTTATTAATATTTGTATTTTACTCAAAAAAAGACTGTCACAATGGTTATTGTACAGAAGCCAGGAAGTATACTGCATTGACATCTGTACTTAAACTCAATGTTAGCCACAGCCTTTCATTTTCATATTGACCCGGTGAAACTATTTTTTTAAAAACCATTAAGTTATTACATTTTCTCCCAATCAATAAAAATAAATCCATCTTGTAAATAATGTATTAAAAATATCTTTCTGGAGGACCAATGACTTTTGCTGTGTGTGTGTGTGTCCTTCAGGACAGCAGAATGAGACCTTAGATGTTATCTTTCTTGCTGATCAATATTCAATCTAATATTTTGATATGTGTTAGGAGTGTGCTCTGCATTCTGTCATTCATTAAACTTCAGCGAGCAGAGAAAGTCCTTCATGTTGATTCATCAGGAATGTGCATCGTGCACACTTTAACTGCATGGGAAAATGAAGATGAAGAGTAAAAGCAGTGAAGAGGGCCTTTACTTTGTCATCATTAAGAATATAATATAGCTTCCCATGGATTTCCATCATGAGATCATTTTTCTCCAGTTCTCCACGACTTACATGTCTTGTTGATTACTGCACATCTGTGTCACCACTGCCATGTCTTCTTTTTCATGTGACACACACATAGTCAGG